CTTAAATGAAGTAACCTTAGCATAGTACTTGATATCTCTTCCAAAACATTGTGTGACCTGTGGGAAATTAATTTGAATATTTATAATCCCCAAAGTCACGTTCTGTACAAAAACAACAACAACACAAAAACAAAAACAAAACACCAACCAAACCAAAAAAACAAAACAAAACAAAACAAAAACCCAAAACCAATATGTTAGAGACCAATTAGAACCATGATAGAGCTTTAAGGAGAGATGGGAGTCAGGAAGAGAAGCACATATATAATCAAAGTTAACATGCAGGATGGTTAAAATGATCAGTCAATGAATATATATTAATTAATTAAAATCTATTGAAAGCATGTTGTTTGTGGTGTGTGTGTGTGTGTGTGTGTGTGTGTGTGTGTGTGTATGTGTGTATGTGTGTGTGTGCAGGGCAAGTGTCCACAACTATGCACATGTGTTTAGTGGCCAAGTATTAACCGTTAACCACAGATGTGATTCCTTAGGAGTTGTCTACATTGTGTTCTGAGAGGGGTCTTTTACTGGATCTGCCATTCCCTGATTAAGTGAAACTAAGAAGCCAACAAGCCTTGGGGTTCTACCTGTTTCTTCCTCTCCTTGTGATTGGGATTATAAGAAAAAAACAGTATGCCCTGCTTTTTGTGTGAGTTTTGGGGCTTGAACTCAGGTCTGCATTTCTTGGGTACTTTACAGACTGAACTATCTTTCCAGCCTGAAAGCTCCTTCACTTTTTAAATTTACTTTACTTGTTGAAATTAATTATATCATTTTCTTCTTCTTCCCTTTCTTCCATACAATTTCTCATATACCACTCCTTGTTCTCTTTCAGAGACATAACTTATGTTTTCATCAATTGTTTTACACACACACACACACACACACACACACACACACACACACACACACACCTGTAAAAAAAGGTACAACCTGCTCAGTCTGCGTAATGTTACTTACTTGTATGTTTTCAGGGCTGACTATTTGGTACTGAATAACTAATCGGTGTGCTTTTCCCTATGGAAGACTATCCTACTCACAACATTCCTTAGCTGCCTAAAATTCTTTATGTAGGGTCCAGGTCTCCTGGTCCTTCTCCCGTGAACATTAGCATGTCTATTGATGTCCTCCTTGTTTAGCTGATGTGTAGAGAATCATGTTAATGAGACATTATAAGTATAGCTTTGGTCAATTCTAGGAGATAGCATCTCACAGCTAACTCCCTGTACCTCTGGCTTTTACCATCTTTCTGTCCTCTCTTCTGCAAGATTCTTTAGCTTCAGGTGCAGGAGTAATGGTGTAGATGAATCAGTTGGGACTAGGATCTACAATAACTCTGCATTTTGATTGATTGTCATTTTCTGTGATGGTCTTCATTTGTTGCAAAGAAAAAAATTTGTTTTGATGATGAACAAGGATGGCACTTCTTTGTGGGTATAAGGACAAATATTTAGAATGCAGTTAAATATTATACTGGTTTAGTAAAATGGCATTTGAAAGTTATTCCCCAATATTCATGACTTCACTAGCTCTGGGTATCAGACTAGGTTTCCAGTACCAGGTATGGATGCTTTGTTGTGGAGTGGTCTTAACTCCAATTAAAGAGCTGTGGGTTACCACCAAAGCATGTGTACTACTATTGCACTCTTTAGAGTTATCATGACATGCTGTATTTTGTTGTTCATAGGTGTCATAGTTGTGTAGGAATGTTGGTTGGTCTTTCTCTGAAAGTTTGCATGGCATCTTTTGGTCATGAAATGTAATGCTCAAGCAGAAAAAGAGGGAAGTCTAATCAGGGAGCAGAAGGGAGATAAATAAATAAAGAGGGTAAACACACACAGAGAGTAAGGACATTTGAAAATATCGTAAAGAATTAAATTATTAACTATCTACCTAAAATATCTATAACATAGGTAGGTTGGTATACAAATACACATATATAGCTTAAATAAAAATTTCCCATCTGTGCTGACAGTGCTCTTTCCAAAAGCCAAAGACCATCTAAAAAATATCCTAACACCAAGTATGAGAAGGCATATTTTAAATTGTTGGTCAGGATTGTACAAGAGACTCCTAAAATAATTTAAGCAATTGCTATTGTTCTTAGCTTCAACCCAGGTGTTGAAGTTAGGTCCCTATTGCTGAAGACACCATGTACTTCAGGCTCAGGGCCTAGAGGCCTCTGGGCATCACCCTCTCCATAATTAGGTATACTGTTTGACCACTGTATCCAGCTGCTCATTGCCAATGTAAAAATAAGGGTGTTTAGTTCTAACTGATCGTTATGTCATTATCATTCTAGTCTCATCTCTGTTCTACAAATAGATTGCTTTAGGTACAAAGGAGACAACCTTCAATATAATTATTAACATTGGAGATCAAACTAGGTGCTTTTAATTTACTAGTTTTCCCTTCCTACAAGTCATTATATGTACCAAGCATTTCTTAAATATTTTGGTGCTGTGGTTAGGGTACAGAACATGACAGAAATATCACATAACCTAAGGCAAATAAAGAGGTTTCATTGTTACTTCTTAAGGCTATTACGATTTCATCTTAAGTTACACCATGAAATAATTTTCACAAGCTGTTTATATAACCACGTGGCTCCATGTTTTGTAAGATAATGAGCAGCGTATGGGGACAAGAGAACAACAGGAGATACTGGTGTGTGATAGATCTAGAATGTGTTAAGCTGGATACTGAAAGCCTGGGAGAATGAGAGGTGGGAGAATTCGACAGCAAGACTCATTTCTTCTCTCTAAACACGTCCTCCTTTAACCCTGTGATTGGTGTAAAGGCAGATACATCTTGCAAGGTGACAGAGCATCAAGAGGTGTGACTGTACTGATGGTGGCATCATGTCCTTTACCCTTCGTTCCTAAAGCATAGCGTATGGACAATCTTAGAGCAAGTGGCATTGCGGCAAAGGTGATCACACAACCTTGGAGAGGGAGACGGGAAATTGAGCCAGGACCGACGATCAGGTGCAAATAGGCTCTGCTCCTCAATAGCAATGCTGCCTCCAATCACTCATAGTGCTGATAGCTAGTAGAGGACTGTCTTATTCAAGTCATTGATTGGATGTGAAACTTTTTGCTAGTGTCTCTGCCCTGAATTTTATTTAAAAAAAAAAAAAACACTCAAAGAACCAGGAAATAAAAAGATGATATTGTATAAGCCTACTAAACCTGCCTTCCCTAAAATTCTCCTTAGCTTGTGTCTTTTCAGTTTATAATTGAGATCAGCAATTATCTAGTTTAGTCAATCAGAGCAGTCTAATTAAAGTCTCAAAATGTACTGTTTTAATTGAAGAGGCTTATTTTCCATATATAATATTTATATGATCAAGAAATTGTTTACGGGGTAAAATTTTAGACATATTAATTCTTAAAGTAAGAAGGAAAAGGCATGTTTATTACAAAACCTACAATAAATGGTTTTGGGAAAGGCAATCATTTTACTGACAGCATTTCAATAAAATGCCTTATTGACAATGTGCAAAGTCATCTGGAATAAAAACTAGATTTCTAGGTCCTAATAGAATCTGCTAAATGAGATGTTTGAGAATGAGGATCCTAACTTCCTTTGTGTGCTGTACAGATATTTATTTATAGAATGTAGTAAAGACACAGGATTATTTAGAGATAATAATGCATGGTAGGAAAAACAAAGCCAAGAGATAGCTAGATTTTGGAATATATCATATTTTAAATGTAAATTGTGTTTTATAAATACTTGGATATTATACTATTTTTAATTTAATGAAATTGTAATATTTTACTAAAATATATTTAATACTTAAAGTGTAAAATTTAAGGTGAAGCTTCAGAGATTCCATTTTGAATTCCAATTGTATTTGTATTTATGTTTCTAATTTCATTAAGTTGTATAGAATTTGAAGTGTAAATAGTTTTGGTGTGTAATGTTTTGATTTAATTTACACGTCTTTTTTAAAAAGGACAGTTTATAAAATTTAAAAAAATAGAAAACCTTCAAGATTCTGGATGTAAGAATGATAGTAAGATTGTGTTTCCCACGAGTTCGCCCTCTAGAAATAGGCTTTTTCCCGTGGATGAGATAATTGAGTAAGCTTACATATTGCACATTGTAAACCTAAGGAGGAGGCTGTTTGGAGCCAGACCCTGTTAGTTTGTAAGGATGCATTTCAGAAAGCCATTTCACAATATCAGCCATGATATGCTCACATACAAGACAGAGACATGCAAGCTGTGTGATAATCTGGTTAAACAGATGCAAAGCTGGTTGAACCACTTTATAGAGAGTGTGAGATTAGTGGATCAGCTTCACTCTGCCAAGGAGAGCCTGCTGGCATGCCTAGCAGCTCTGTACTAAGCCATGTACTGATAAACATTATTACAATTGACTTTTATGAAAATATAGAAGACATTTCTGTCATAATTTTAGGTCTCACAGAGCTATGCAAAAATGCCATCCATGACGGTTGGGAAGTCAACTGATAGGCTGGAATGATGGGCGGAAATCAACACCCTGTGGTCAGTGAAAGTCTTTGTCTGTGCTTCCGCCAAGACAGTGAAGCAAGAATTTAACAATCTAATCTCTTATATAAACAAAAACAATAAAATCAGTAATAAGTTTTTATTTAGCTGTCATAGGGTTCACATTCTTGTTTGCATATTTTCATGTATTACTTAATCCTTCAATCATGGCAATACGATAGCCTTTTTGCATTTTGCTAAAGAAGAGTTTTGACCAGAAAACAGACCATCTGATAAGGCATTTTATCATAAAATATAAAATAGAATACAAAAGTGGAGGTTAAGAGAAACATGTTTTAACAGTTCTTATTTATACATGAAGCATCATTTAAATTAGAATAGTTAATGGAATTTCAAAAACTTATGGAAGAAATTTAACTAGGATAAGAGGCTGGACAGCCCAAGAGACCTGGGATAGAACCAAACATGACAGGAAAAAAGCCAATGAAATGACTCCTAACGATATTCTGCTATACTCACAGATAGTTGCCTGGACCAATTGTCATCAGAGAGGCTTCATCCAGCAACTGATGGAAACAGATGCAGGGACCCACAGCCAAAAATTAGGCAAAACTTGGGAAATCCTGTGGAAGAGGGGGAGGCAGGATTATAGGAGCCAGAGGGGCCAAGGACACCATGGTAAAACACAAAGTCAACTGACCTGGGCTAATGGGGGTTCAAGGAGACTGAACCACCAACCAGAGAACTTACATGGGACTGATGTAGGCCCTCTGTACATGTGTTACAGTTGTATGGATGAGGGAGGGATAGGGTGGGGCGAAGTGGGGCTGTCTCTGACTCTGTTGCCTACTTTTAGGACTCTTTCCTCCTGCTGGGTTGACTCTTCCAACTTTAATAGGAAAGGAGTTACCTAGTCTTACTGAAACATGCCATGCCATGGCTGACTGATCTACATGGGAGGCCTGCCCTTTTCTGAAGAGAATGGAGAGGAAGTTGATGGGGTAGGATAGGGGAAGCTGGGGGGGGGGGCGACTGGAAAGAGGGGAAGCAGGGAGGGAGGGAGAGGGAGGGGAAACTGATTGGGCTGGGAAAATTTAATTAACTAATTAATTAATAAAAAAGAAAGCTAACATCCTTCTGTTTCTACATTATCATCTTGCACTTCTTTCATTTACATTGATAAATGTTTTTAACTCATTTATGAAGAAAAAATGATATAAAGTAAGACATGGTAAAATTTGAGCCCAGTGTGCCAAATTAAGAGAAAATTTTGGCAGTGGATGAAAGCAACAAACCAGATAAAGGAAGGTTGTAGCTTGTGATTTACTGCATTTATCTTTTTTCCAAATCAGTTTTACAACTACTTCATAATCCCTTGGGTCTACAGAATGATCTTCAAGTTTCCCAAATAATCAGACCTTTCAACATTCATTTCCCTTGATTAGAATGTTCATACGTTTCTTCTTGTAAGTTGAATGTTGTTGCCACAACACTAATAAGTAAGAATTGGACTGTGATTCAGTAAGCTTCAATTTATTCTGATCATTTAGGATTAATAATTTTAATCAGATACCACTCTGAATTTTAAATTTTGGATTGGATTAACGGATTTTTGACTGGTTTTCTGAAGGCAGTATTCAAAGGCTAAAATGACCTTGCACATTCCTCTCTTTATGAACTGTTATTAATTGCAAAGCTTAGATTTTATGGCATTTATTTTGAAATATATACATCTTTTCATCTTTTTAGGGTTGACAGAAAGTATATTATATAAGCAAAAAGTAGTTCTGGAAACAAATGCAATGATTCTGGAATCCTACTAAAGTTTGAGTTTCAATCTCCTCACCTAGAAGTCATACACATTTCATTTTGTTTTATATATTGGTGTTTTTACAAATTCATATAATAAATTATTTATACCATAGGAAAAGAACACTGGAACATGGAGTTCAGACTATGCAAAGGCAATTGTGTTTGAAACTGAACCTTTCCAGGTTGTCTACTTAGAATATTCCCATAGCCCCCAGCACCATGAGCCAATCGCTATGTACTGTACCCTCCAGCTAGATTACTCTAATATATTATTTTGTACCTGATTCCCTCTTATAATAAACTTCAGAACCTATACATTATGTGAACAATTAAATACAATAGACTATTTTTAAACATAAAGACAATACCAATTACAATTCTCTAGATAAACATGCATAATTATAGTAATTACAATTTAACAATAACTCACTGGTACTTACTATTATAAACTCATAAACTATTATTCAGTAACCTATAAAACTCAAAATCTAATTGAAAGTGCTAGTTTAGCACAATTCCCACGAGCCATCATTCCTTAATATTCTGGAATGAATGAGGTTTTTGTTGAGCTATTAATTGATACTGACAAGCAATAACCATTGGAATGAAACTGCAATTATGAGTGGCAATTAATCATGCTGCCTGTCATCTCTAGTGTCAAACAAAATTTAATAATCTTTTAAAGAATTTTAAAAAGTTTATACATTTTCATGTTTCAATTCACTTAGTAGAAACAGAAAGTAGTTTCCTGGCACAATCAAGTAAATTTCAAATAATATTTCCGTAAATATGTGTATTGCATTTTCTTAGTTAAAAGGGCTTTTGATTCTCTGCTGAAATCACATCTGGGATGAACTTGTCTCTGTGCACATGAGAAAACTCTCCCCATTGTATTTCACACCTGCTTTCCCTTAGTGAGTACCTGTCTGACTCATAGATCACCTTCCTACACAGCATGTAAGGCACAGGAGAAGACACCCTGGGGACAGGGGCTTGGGATAATATGAGAAGAAACTCTGAGATGCCTCAATTCATCAATGTCTCTTTGAATTGGAGTGAGGAAACAGCAGGATTTAATTTAGCTTCTCTTATTATTTCTAATTAACCGAGCAACTGGCATTTTTCTTTTCTCGTTACTTAAGTAACAGCATCTTTGCCTGAGCCACAGGGTCCCATCAGAAGTCATTATGAGGTCCTTTTGACAACTACAAAGTGACCTTAGAACAAAAATAATTGAATGTATTTGTCAAAAACCAGGCCTGCTTAACCCAATAACACCAGGTCTAAACTTAGAGGAATAAACACTGTAAAGTAAAGACCTTACTAGGCAGATTTGCACTAGATATTTGAGCAGATTCATATGCTTCATCTGAATATTCATGAGGTTCAGGTCTTGTCTGGTGAGGGAAATATGGCTGAAAAGAAAGTCATTGCTTTTTTTTGTGATTAGAGATAGATTGTGGCAAGGTTAAAAACTGAACAGTGGATTTTTAATAAATTAAGAAAAGGACAGCATCTGCTTCCTCTACTTCCCAAATGTGAAAAAGAAAAATCTGAATGATTCTTTTCATACAGCTGAAAATGTCAATCACTTTAAAGAGCAAGGGCTTATGTGAGATAAAGATTGGAATTTTTTAATGTAAAGTATTTACATATTACATAACTTCCTAGAGTTATTAGTAATGTAAGTGGAATGACCTTCATTTTAATTATTGTTTTTTCCTTTACTTCTATATGTAGCAACAATGCTAATGCTCATTATTGATTTTCAAAGCTGAATCAGGTAATGGTCATGACTGCTAGTCCATTCTGCTTTAAAATTGCCTTAATACAAAGGACACTTTTTCCTTGTCATTGATGGTTTTACTACAATGGAATTGGGGAATATTTTTGTTGCTTCCCTCATAAGTTTTGTGCCTTCTACTCTGACTCTGGATTCTTCTTTCTCAATTTTCCTCCCTATTTTATAATATCACATAATTTCAAGTGTTCAAATCACTAAAGGTAGTGGGTTAATAGCTATTAATTTTTTGGAATTGTGTGTTTTGGCTGAACCATGCTGGCAATGAATAGTTAATATGTAAACTTTTTAAATTTGAGGACAAGAACAGGAACAATTATTCTGGTTGATTTTGAATGGTTAGTTACTTTTGGTCTCTGAAGATTCTAGGTTAAAAAAATCTTGTGTATGTTGAAATGTTGTTCATGCCTTGACATATAATGCAGACATCTGACAAGAGGCAGGTGCTTCTGGATTGAGCTCTGCAGTATAGCTCTGAGGGGCTCTGGGCAAGTTCTAGGAGAGATTTCTCTTCTCTATAATTAAATGCCAGCACTGACTTCTCATATTGCCTTTGAATTAGAAACACAGATTACACATAGTCTTCCCAGTGCTCTCTCCAGACCTAGCAAACATCTGGCTGTCATAGTGATATTTAATAGAAAGAAGATGCCCTTTTTAGACAGTTTGTGTCCTGTCATGTGTCAAGTTACATGACTGAAGAAGCTCGTGTCTGACTCACAGGAGAGTCCTCCACTACCTAATAACCTACACGGAATGACCTTTTAATGTGAATGTAGAGACAGTCATTGAGGGCAGATGCAAGACAAGTTGATACAAGGAACTTTGTGTTTGCTGCTGACATCTTGTTAGGTTGTTCCATGTCCATGTGGAAGTCCCCTTCAGCCACACAGTAGATTTCTTTCAGGTGTGATGTTTGGGACAAATGCATAGAAGATGCAATGTTTCCCTTTACTAGGATGAGAATTATGCAACTTCACAGTTTTCAAAATAGTTTTAAAAGAAGGTTACTGTGAGGGATGTAATTACATATGTATTCAAAGTACATCTATTGTATTGAAACTATGATGCTTTTTATTTATCCACTACAATATCTTGGAAACAAATGGCATATAAATACTTGTACCAGAAAAATGGGTAACAGATTTATTGAAACATTCTAATACCATGGGGATCTATGTCTATAAACATCTTAACCTTTATACAAAGGACCAACTCCTTAAAAGACACAATTGGGCAAAACTCAAATAAGAAGAAACAGACATGTACCTATTTTAAAAATTGAGATAAATAATTAATACCCTTGAGTATTAGAAAGCACCATGGCTAGCTGAGTTCATTGAGCATTTCTATCAAATATTTACAAAAAAATACTTTCAACTTTACAATCTCTTTCTGGATAAGGAATCAGAGACAACTCCTAATTTATATTGAGGGTAGGTATCACTGTAGTATGAAAACTAACTGAATCATAATAAGAAAATAACTCCATTATTTCTCATACTAGCCAAAGATATGGTAAATGAATAGTAATGAAACCGAATGGGATTTATCCTAGGAATGTAAACTTATTTAAAACCCTCAAATCAATTAGTTTAATGCAGGAAATTTCCAGGCTAGTAAAGACAAACAAAAGACCAACAACCACACACTCCTAAAATACACCACCAATAATAATACATGGTAAGATTCAATAACTACCCATAAAAACAACAAAACAAGCATGCAAACACACAAACAAAACTCCCAATAAGGTAGGTGTGGTAGTCTGAATGTGATTTGCCCCCATAAACCTATAAGGATTGACACTATTAGGAGTTGTGGCTTTGTTGGAAGAAGTGTGTCACTGTAGAGACAAGCTTTGAGGTCTCATATATGCTCAAGCCACACCCAGAGTCTCAGATGACTTTCTGTTTCCTGCAGGATCAAGATGTTGCTCCTTTTCTGCTCTCAGCTCCTTCTCCAACATGTCTTCTGCATGCTGCCATGTCCTGCCATGATGATAATGGA